AATTACCTTTTAAGGCAACAAACGGACAATGAATGAATATTCAACAACTGATATCGAGAGAGTACAAAAGCCCAGTTTTCAAACAAGTTTTGTGTGTCTCTGGCGGGGCACTTGCCCCCCAGGCCACCCAGCGCTGTTTGCTTTATTATCGCTTGCTTAATAAATTTATCAATTTTTAATTGGAACTAAGTTGTCTAAATTCTTAAACTAACTTATAACACCCCCCGCGGCCACTGCTGGAGCTCCTGCAGATCTCAGGGGCTTCCAGGTGGGAGCACTGGGGGTGCAGGCAGGGCAGTGTTGGGGGGGCAGTGGCAGCCACAGAGTCCTAGAGGGCACCAAGAGCTGTGCCCGGGGCAGCGTGGCCAAGGTGCAGCCCCAAGAGGGGGCAGCTTCCCCGGTGTGCATGGCCGTGTGTCCCCAGGACGTGACGGAGAAGCGCAGGCGAGCACGGAGCTGCTTTCCCTGCCCGTAAATCCCAGCCTGGGCCGGTGTCCCCACTAATGACGGGTTTGCTCCCCAAACGGCGCTGCTGGTCCCCAGCCCGGGTAAGGACAGGGCTGCTGGGCTGCCCGCCCTCCCTCGGCGCTGTGGGCAGGACGGGACAGCGACAGAGCCGAGCCTGTCCTGTCCCCGCTCCTGGCAGAGCCAGCCCAGCCGCGCGGCCCCGGCACATCCCACTGCCCCAAATCCCTGCAGCCTCCCCAGGCACGGAGCAAGTCAGAGCTGGAGGGGTCCTGGGGCAGATGGACACCTTGGGTAGGGCTCACTGAACTTCCTCCCTCTGCAGGTCTAGGGGAGAGGAGGTGGCACTTGTTGATTTTGGAGCTATCAGGGTCACCCCACCCGCCATCCCCAAGCAGGGAGTGAGGCGTTAGGCAGCCTGTAGGGCTGGAATCACACACGTGGCCAGGCCAGCAACAGCCAGTTCTTTCCCCTCGCACCCTCATCGGGAGGGTTGTGCTGGTTCATCCGGAGCTCCCCACACCCTGGCAGGGAGGAGGCTCGGGGCAGAGCACACCGGCGGTGCCTCCCCGGGATACTCGCCAGCCTCCAACAGGAACACAGGAACTTCCCGAGCCCTCAGCGCTGGAGCATCTGACGTGCTTTAATGGATCTCGCCTTTCCCCACCCATTTGTTGAGGGTTTTGAACCCACCCAGCCCTCCTCGCCCCCTCTGCCCTCCCCTCTAATTGCACATTTGAGATTTGGCTGCCTCGGCTTGCTCTGAACGCAGCACCAGTGTTAGAAAACACAGCCCCGCTCCGCACCCATCACGCCCTGCCCCCCCCCTGCTCCCTGAGCCCTCTCAGAGCCGGCTGGGGCACAGGGAGAGCAGAGAGTGGGAATGGCATTCATTAACCACCATTAAACCGCGGCGGGGAAACCTTCACACGCAATTAAAGCGGCATAAATTCAGCGTGGCTTGATTCACCGTGGAATTGAATTAAGAGCACTTGAATTTTGGAGTAAGACTATCTCCTGGGGATTTAATGTGGTTTCACTAATACACTTTAGAAGATAATGTGGGCTCATCTTCCTGAGCATCCCTGCACAGGCAGGTCTGCCGGGCTCGGGCACGGCCTCACTGGAAAAAAAAACCCAAATCCTTCCTCTTGAGGTACTTTGGGGTGTTTGGGCAGTGCCTGGGGAGCAGCCGCGGGGAGCTGGTGGGCAGGGAGAGCCCACAGCCTTTCCTTCCCCAAAGCCACGGCGAGTCCCCTCCAGCCCCTGGAGCCCCGTGAGGGGCTGGGGAAGGGGACAGGGGGGCTCAGCTCCTCGCACGCCATCGGGGAAGGGGCTGAAGGACATTCCCACCTCGCAGCTTTCACCACCCAACACGGACGGCCACGTTCGCTCCCTCCCGGTAGCGGAGTGTCCTCCCTCCAGCAGCCGCAGCGAGAGCGCCTGCACAGCCCTTCCCCAGCGCTTAATTACAGCGAGCAGTAATTACTGTAATTCTCTTCAATTGGCTCCCTAATAAAGTCACAGCTCCGCTGGCGGCCGGACCCCTCGCGCTGCCGCTTCCACACGGGGTTCCTCCGGGCTGGAATTCCCTGACACGGCGGGATTGGGGTATTGACGTGGGGTTTTGAGCTCCTGACCCCCCTGAGCCGTGGGATGGTGCTTAAGGAGCCGGAGGCCTCGCTGCTGCTTCGGGCACCACGGGCAGGGCTCGGACCTGGTGCTGCCGCAGGGGCTCCAGGATCACCCCCCTGCCCTTCCCTGCCCTTCTCCAAGCACAATCCCCGGAGGGGCAGTTGTGGCGTTCCCAGAGGAGCAACTCTTGGGTACAAGAGACGTGTGTGTGAGTCGGGGCTTTTGTCCCCCAGTCCCCATCGTGTCCCCTGGTCCTGCCCCCCCGGGTGTTCAAAACACTCCTCCCAAAGGGGGAACCATATTTTAATTTCTTGCCCACTTGATGCTCAAAGTCTGTAGCATAAACTAAACTAATGTATTTATAAGCTAAATACGTGTAACTTTGTCTGTGCATCTGAATGTAAAAGTCGTTTTTTAAAGCTTATTAATAGGTTATTATTAGATTGTATTTTGGGGGGTGAGGGGGGTACTGGATGTACTCCCTGAACAGCCCAGGGAAAGCTGCCTTTAGGACAACAATTAATACCAGGAAAAAAACCCCAAACCTGTGTTGTATAAAAGCAGTTAATCATTGCCTTTAAGTCAATACATAAATACCAGGAGAAAAAAGCTGTATGAAATCTGCTAATAATTATCTATAAAACAAGACCTACAGCCTCTCTCTGTCTTTCGCCCCCGAATGCCAGTGGAGGAGCACATCAGCTCCCCCTCGGAGCCTGCTTAGCTGTTACGGGTGGATGGAAACTAGTCTATAATTCCACTGTTTAATATCTGTACTCAAGAGGCTAAAATGCTTGAAAACATAATAAATTCGGCAAAAATATCCCAAGAACTATTTACCTTAATTCTGATCAGCATTACAGTAACATGACAAGCAACAACCTCGATATAGTAAATTATAAGCTGATCGAGATAAATAAAATTATAACGTATCAGTGCCAAGGCTCAGCTCTAAGATGTGGCTGCAGTTTAAACATGAACTAAAGCCCAGGCTGCTCCAGTTGGGTGGAGGCTTTACAGAAACAGCCACCACGGTGCCGACCCGATCAGGCACCGCTTCTTCAGCGCTGGACTCGACTGGGACACGTGAAACACACTGAAATTCAGAAAATTTAAATAAGACAGCAAAATTATACCTTGTAGCTATAGTTATCACAAATAATGTACAGTCTAAATTGAAGCCTGAGCAAACACGATTTCCTGGGTGCCTCTGGAAGCCCAAGGCGGGATGCAGAGCAATTATGAGGAATGAGCACAAAGCTGATTTGCATCTGAATGGCGAGGGGGGGCCGAGGGGCGGGCCGGGCCGGCTCCATTCACTGCACCACAATACACCAGCTGGGAAAAGCAACTTTATTAGTGTCCCGCAGCAAAATACATTAGTAATTTGTAACCAGGCATTCAAATTCCGTCCGGTGTCACACAGAAGGATCGCCCACCCCCCTGGATGTTCGTGTGGATCGGCTCCCGGAGCTCCGGGGAAGTGACCCCCGTGCCGGTGGGAAGCACCCCAGGGAAAGGGCTCCAGGGCAGCCCAGGAAAAGCAGCATCACACCCCCAGCACACCACCAAGCACATCTGCAAACATGGTCCCCAGCACAGCCCAACCCAGGCACGGGTAAATGGTTTTCCCAGATGTTTGCCAGTTGTGGTCCCACAGCCAGTGCCTGCTGCACTTTCAGACTCCTCTGAGCTTGTTCCCTCTCCACTCCACCCACAGGGATACACACTAACAATGTACAGTACTTCCACTAATTATTTTTTTGAGTGAAAAGACTTGATTCCTCTCTTGATCACCATGATAAAGTGAGTCTCTGAGTAGCAGGATTCAATATTAGTGTTAACCGTTAGTGTTACTGTAAAATCCTCTTTGGTTACAGAATATTTCATTTAAAGCAAGATTATAAAAAACGATTTCCAGCTAGAAATCCACCCCTGGAATCTAAAAGCCATCTAAATTAACACACTTCTGCAGGCTGAAGATACACTGATAGGACTTAGAAATTTGAGTATTTCCCCATGTAATCTAAACAAAGTTATCAAAATTATATTAAGTAAATACATTTTGAGGAATAGTAAGTTTCTGAAAAATCCTTAGGGTATTAAAAGTAGAGTTCTGGAAGTAGCAGTAGTGGGCTAGAGAAAAACACACCCGAGCCAGAGGCCTCCTCTAGATACTCTCCATGGCCTTGAACTCGCTGAGAGCCTGCACGGGGTTCACGTGCTTCTTCTGGGACGCCCTCTTGATTTTAGTCTGGGTTTCATCCTGTTTCTCCCTCTTCACCAGGGGCTTCTTCTCCGGAGCCTTCATCTTCCAGGAGACAGCGGGGAGGTTGAGGGAAGCCATGCCCTGGGACTTCTGGTACTTGGTGGAGGCCACGTAGGACGCCTTCACCGTCTGCACCACCGCGTTCATCAGGTTCTTGGCCGCCTGGATCAGCGACATGGCACTGTCCACCTGCACAGAGCACACCAGTCACACACCAGAGCCCCCAGAGCACGGACAACACGGCACTCCTGGGGGGAAAAAGCACTCGAGAACAGATTTATCTGAGTTTTCCTCTGAAAGAGGTTCCCAATTGGAGGTACAATTTTTCTTCAGACAGCCAGAGGTACAAACCTGACTTGTGCCACCTCTGTGGGAGCTCAGTTTGCCCCACTGTCTGCATTTCTGTATCAGAGGCAATGGGAATGATTTGTATTCTGCTGTTTGCTTTTGTGACTAAGCTTTAACAGTAGCTTATTCTCTAATTAAATTAATAAAGCTGTAGTAATATCTTAATCACTGATAATAAGTATTTAAATTGCCCTAGAATATTAAGTTGTATTGGGAAGGAAGGAACACAAGTGCATCATCAGCCAGGCCTGGAGCCCTTTCCCAGCTGGTTCCTGATTTACAAGAGCATCAAAATTTGGAAAAAAATACATTTGTCAGAGCTTCAGGGCACAGCAGAGTCCAAAAGTCAAAACCAGGGCCAGGGGAAAGAGAGAGGGGGGAGAACTACTGAGGTGACCTCAGCTGGGACTCCCTTCTCTGGGGGGGATCCCTGGCTTGTTAAGGCCAAGTGGCCTGGGCAGGGTCTGGGGTGGGGCAGGGTCTGGTGAGGGCAGTGTTTGGTGGGGGGCAGAATTTGGTCTGGAGAAGGGGTTGGTCTGGGGCAGTATTTCAAATCTGGGCAGTGTCTGGTGTGGAGCAGGGGCTGGTCTGGAGAAGGGGTTGGTGTGGGAAGGGGTTGGTGTG